TGTAATTGTGTTTAACTGTGTCTGTAAGTGTCTGTAAGTGTGTGTAAATGTGTGTAAGTGTGTGTAAGTGTGTTTATGTGTGTGGGTGTATGTAAATGTGTGTGTATATATTTGTGTGTGTTTGTTTAAGTGAGTGTAAGTGTGCATATGCTTAGTTTAGTTTAGTTTATTGAAATTTGCCACAAACATAATACAATTAAATGCACAACATACAAAGGTAAGGGCGGGCGGAGAAGAAAACAGGGCGATAGCCTCAATTGAGTTTCAACTCCTTACGTTAATTAAGAAAATATGAAATATGTCTGTTTAAGGCCCAGGTAAAACGCCGCACCCCACATGAGCCGAACCCAAAGCGGAACTTACAGTCCCAAAAATAATGCTTTTCGGTTCACCCTGCCGTGAAGCATGGTGCCTGACCCGGGCCTAAAACTTAAAATAATTCTATAAACAAACTTATAAACTATTACATGAGCATCACACTATGGCGGACTGTAAGTACTAAGCTAAGTTTTGTAGTGCTCAAAAAGTAGACTTTTGAATTGTGRAACAGTTGATACAAATTTAAAGGAATATGGGAGGTTATTCCATAACTTAATAGATCTAGGAAAATAGGAGTTAGTAGAATAATTCTGAGAGTGTTTAAAATGAAAACGGAAGTTGGCGGGATCGTATTTACGAGTAGCATAACTACTTGTTTGAGGAAGAAAAAAGCGTTCAAAATTAGCGGAAATGAGCCCAACCTTAAATTTAAACAAGAGTGCTAAGTCATGTATATCTCTGCGGAATTCTAGAGGAAGTAAGTTTAGCTGTATCAGCCTGTCTATGTACGTTACTTCTTTTACTGGATAATTAAGTATAAATTAAGTTGCGCGACGTTGAATATTCTCTAGTAGACTGCGATATTTTTTGTTATAGGGTGACCACAAACAAGAAGCATATTCTAAAATAGGTCTAACTAATGTAGTRTACAATAGTTTACGTGTTGATATGTCTCTAATGTCACTGCCACAAACACGCTTGATCAGTCCAAGAACTTTGTTGCCCTTAGTGCACAGTCTCTTGATATGTGTTGCCCACGACAACTGATGAGTGACAGTCACACCAAGACCGGAAGTTTCAGTAGCGGATACTAAGGCTTCGCCAGCAAGCTGGTAGTTATATTTAAGCCCCTGACAAGATCTTCTTTTATTCATATGTAAGACTTTACATTTGGTAGTATTAAGAGCGACTGTCCACTAATATCGAGCCAAATCAAGAATCGGCGGCAACAGCGAAAAAATCCGCGATTTTCTTTATTTTTGGTCCAGAGTTAGGTATTAGTGAGTAAGTAAACGTGATGGGTTTTATTTCTTCAAAAAAAATTTTATCGCTGAGAAAAATCGAAAAAACGGCCCGTCCGATATAGGGCCCAAGACGGCACGAAATGAAAGCCATTTTAGGGGTTTCTTTAACGTTATCCTGTAAAGTCGCAACACATTTTCCAGCTTTTTTAAATTGAGATATTCGTTCTTCAACTATTCTTGAACATTTTCATGCAATTTTAGGCTCATGGGTTTATT